AGAGGAGGTATAGATTGGACATCCGCAAAAACTACTTCACAGTTAGGGCGGCTAGGAGCTGGAACCAACTTCCAAGGGAAGTGGTGCTGGCCCCTACCCTGGGGGTCTTTAAGAAGAGGCTGGATGCCTACCTGGCTGGACTCATTTGAGTCCCGTTTCTTGTTTTGGGGTTTTGTTGTTCTCCCACCCTGGCGGGGGGTCGGGCTAGAAGATCTACTAGGTCCCTTCCGACCCTCAATCTATGAAACTATGAAACTATGACTATAGTGGCATGGTGAGGTGTTTTTATTGTCCAAAGTTAGCATTTGCTTTTCTGATGAATCTCACTGTACAGCAGTCCATCACACCCTCATTAAAATGGACTGTTCTTCATTCTCTTTCAGTCAGTGAGTAATTTTCTTACATGGACAATATTTCATATTGGTATCTCTCTAATGGCCATGTGCTTTTCTCATGGATAACAGGTTGAGAAAAAAGAGAGATTGCAGCAACTTCTGATGCCAATCTAACCACAAAGTGTGTATGTCTCTACATATACGTGTCTGCGTATACACAAGCATGTGAGTGTATGAGAGATTAGTACAAATATTTCATTTGTAACTGTTTTAATGGAAATGTCAACAAGAAATTAAATTACATTTTCCCCCAAATAAAATACAGTATTGACTAGATTTGAGCACATAATTCACATTGAATAATTTATTAGGCAAATTTGACCCAGACAAATTATTTGGGAACAGATCACGACATGTTCTCATTTGTTCATTATTCAAAATCATTCATGAATTTCAGCAAATAATTCCTGGTCTAAGATTTGCATTGTGTTGGTTAGTTCTGCAAGTCATTGGTATTATTTTCTGTTCCCTGAATGAATGACTTGCGTAAAAAAACAACAGCTTGAACGTGAATGTTACAAATGCATATACAATCAAAACAGATTTTAGTGGATATTCAAGCACTGAGAACTACCATTTGCTCCTTTTAAATATCTGAGTTACTAAAAAGTGAGCATTCAAATGTTTGTAAAAAACAAACTTGAAAAGTTCTTTATATCAATTCAGAGCAAATCAAAATTCTTGCGTTGAAATTAGATGACTATTTTGAGGATGTCTTCCGTGTGCTGCAGCTGATTTTACACCCTTAGCTGAAGACTCAGAACGGCACTGCCTTTTACAACGCGTTTATTTTGAAAACATTAGCAGCCATTACTTCTTGGCAGATAGATTTTATATGGCACACCTACACTTTGAAGTACTCCATTTCCTTCTTCATAGCTAAAAACTCATTTGTTAACAAGTACAGTGTAAGAATGGAAAGTCCTTTCTCTACCACAGGTGAATATAACTCAACTTTTCTTTCTAACGCGAGGTATATTTTTTTGCATCTGAAAACAGATATCGTCTTAAGGCATGGTGTGTGATACAAGCACCATTTTTCTAAAGAATAAAACAAATCCACTTCAATATTTCAATAAAAAATATAGATTGTGAACTCGCATAGGATCTTTGATATTCATTAAAATACATTAATCAGCTTTTAGGGTTTAGTTTGCTGACCTTTCAAGACATTAAAAATAAACTAAAATGTTTTCCTAAAAAAAAATCTGCAATCTTTAGTTTTTGCATTTGGGAACAGCCACGTCGACCATGATAGTAACGGACTGTTACAACTGATCACCAGTCTGTCAGCTACACTATTTTGAAAGACTCTGTGAAATTAAATGTTAATTATTTATTATCATTCTCAATTTGAATGCTCATCAAGGACTTACTTGTTTGAATAAAATATTTCAAAATATAGAAATCCTCATTCTGGACTGCGAATGTCATGTATGTCAAATTAAATCCAGCAATACAAAACAAAGACACCGCCTAAGAATTCTCTCTGAAACAATAATGGGAATGTCACCACTGTAAACCACAGGCTCTTGGCAGGCAAATGTGTTTAAGGAGTTATTTTTTTGTTACATAAGCTACAGCCTTCTTTGCTGCATCCTCCAGGTCGCTTGCAGAAGTGATGGGTAGCCCACTCTCTTTCAAAATGCGCTGGGCTTCATGAACATTCGTGCCTAAGACAGAAAATGGAGGGGTTAGCTACAGAATAAATGTTACAAACACGTTCCATTAGGCCTGTGCCTGTGTGCTGAATGATTTGTACCAGACAGACAGCATTTCACTTTTAACAGGAAGTTTTTAATTAGCAGACAGTGCTGGGGGGGGGGCAGAAGGCAAGAACGCCAAAAAAATCCAATCCTGGCTCTGATGCTTCCCTTGAATAATACCTAATTAATTAAATTGCAGAAATATTGTGAGAACTGGGGCACCACAGTGGAGAGAGGACCACTGACATCAAAAAGCAAGGTGACTATTGATGTCAACTGAAACTTGACATCTCCAGCTTTGTCAGCACACGGTGCCTCGGGTCCTTTACGTTCATCAAATGCTTTGAATATTAAAAGAAATGTACACAAGATGGCGATATTACAATTAATCACAACAGGTAATGATCACTAACGTTCACCTATGTTGACTCAAAAAGAGCTGGTTTGGATGAGAAGCACAAGTATTGCCTGTCCCTCGGCCGTTAATGTGTTTCCGTACCTGTGCTCAAAGGAGAGTACTCCATTTGGAGCCCCCGTTCAAAGTTGGCTGAAAGAGCACACACTCTCGGTCATGAAAAAAGGCTATAAATTAAAAGAGACATTTCAGGGAAGTGTGTGTTTCACACTGTCTAATTCCTATAAAAAGCAAGTGCATAGCTAAATGAGAGCAGATTAATTAGAAGAGATGACTGATTGTCACTCATATCCCACAGCTCTTTCTTTATTAATACTACAGAGGGACGAGCCCTTTGAAATGTTCTGGCACAGCGATCGCATGAATTTAGTCTGTTCCCTGAAGTCTCTTACCTGGTCTGAGGCAAGATATTTGGCATCTCCCAGAAACACCAACCTGAAAACACTGTCCATTGTCACTTGGTAAGAAGCGTGATTCGTTTTATGATACACAAGAAAAAGTTGGTCGAGTTCCTCCCCATAACCCATTCGGAGGATGCCAGCAAACACATACTGAACGCGCTGTGCAAGGGAAGCAAATAAAACCGAAAAGATGCTTTGAAGCAGCCGAAGCCCCACAACTATATTAAGAAATGCGTGAACTAGAGCAGCTAGCCCATTCTTTTGTTCAGGTTTGCATTTTTACCACGCTGTTCAAGATACAGAGAGCAACAGTGGGTCAGAACAGTCCGCTGCGTGAAGCAAAAAGTTGAAAGCCTGGTTTGACAATGGGTCAAACTCTGATCTGGCTTATATATCAGAGGTGCTCACATGCTACAGCTACAGAGACCCCAGGCATAATCTAGGCCTACAGGTTAAATCGATTCATCAGAATTTAAACCTAGCCCTTGATTTCTTGAGTTCTTGGTGTTCTCTAATGCTGCACCCTGTCCCACTGGCTACCTCTTCACCCTCAAAGTCTTCGAGTTGTAGTAACCTTAGGAGCACGTCCAGGGCTTTAGTTGCTAGGGAGCTATGCGATGGATTCACTCTCTTTCAGGGACTGAGGAGCTATCCCTTAAAAGCATCTCCTGCACCCTTTGCGAGCCGAGGCAAACCTGAACTCCATTTCCAACACTTGTCAAACACCTGCATGAATCAAATCAACTAAGCAGAAAAGCAAAGAACCACGTTAAATTTGCCAGGTACAAAATCCTAAAGTAATCCTTTCCCCAAACTGTGCTTAAGAGTGACAACATTGATTTTAACCTGAAAACCTCCATATTTTCCCGGGTCCAGCAGCCAGTCAAATCTCTCACCATGAACCATGGAACAGCTGGTTCAACAGCACTTACCGGCCTCTTCCAAGTCATCAACGCAACTTTCAGGCCACAGAAATTAGTAACTTATCACTCTTTGCCAGCTCTATCGTTTGCTTGGTTAAAAAGTTGAGGAATACTGAAAGTTTTCCAATAATTCACTTCTGAGGTAAGTTTATACGAGCTATATATAATGATCTACATATTTATGCATTCTATGTATTAGTTGATATACTCAACTCGACTCCCTCCCCATTTCCCTTGCCTCCTCTCTTCCTTTCACTCAGTGACTGACTCTCAGGTCCCTCCCTCTCCAACTCTTTCTCACATTCCTTCCAAATAAGACAAGTCTCTTTGATGCTACTTTCTCTACACTCTCCCGTCCACCCTCCATTCTTTCCCACAGCCTGCAAGCACTTTATCGTTTTCTCAGGTCGCAAGAACCTCCCCTCTGAGTCACCGGCCTGAGCCACGGTGAAAAGCACAGTGAGAAACTGAATGAAACAAATGCAGGTCCAGACCCATTTTTCTTTTAGTAACATCCCTGCAAAACAAACTCTTTCTTTCAAGAGCCACTTTGGCTCTTTGACCCTCTTCCGTTTTGCACATTTAAATGAACTATTCTTATGAACACAGCACGAAAGCCATCTGATAAAGGCAAACGGTATTTTGACTTTACTTTCATAGTTTCTAGGGTCAGAAGGGACCTGAGTAGATCATCTAGCCCGACCCCCTGCCATGGCAGGGAAGAGTACTGGGGTCAAACGACCCTGGCAAGGTATACATCCAGCCTCCTCTTAAAGAGCCCCAGGGTAGGAGCCAGCACCGCGTCTCTGGGAAGTAGGTTCCAGATCCTAGCCGCCCTTTGCCATTAGAACGTAATGAACGTCATCTCAATATTTAATAATCTATGCAGCTTCAGCCCTTTCATCAGCACTAAACCTAAATGAGTGTGCAAGGATGCTAGTCATTTTGAAGGCTATTTCATACCACCCATGAATATGCCAGGACACTGCTGCAGAATGCGAAGATAAATTGTAATTCAGGCTGTGCCAGGAAAAAAGACAGTTTCTTAAAGTACATGTTGGATTTTTTACTTCCAAATTAAATTACCTGGATATTATAGTTGTACTAAAACGCTTAAACAATTTTGTAGGATTCCAAATACACTTTTTTCTCACCAAGTTTCTCCTTTACTAGCTTCATACTTTTAAATCTCAGCACAAGATTCTTTTCTAGGGACATTGTTATAATAAGGAAGGTGAATGGTGAAGGTCCTGACTCCTCCAGAATGACAAGAGGAGCAGCCTTCCTCTGTGGAAAATAAAGCTGCAGTGAAAAGTGTGGATGTCTTTAAGTTAAGCAACGCTCCTGAAGGCCGATGCACTATGCGTTACATGAGTGTCTCTAATTGGGTATTTCGTGTGGTAGGTGGAGTTCACACTTCAGGGTTGTTATTATTACTAGCAAACTGCCCATCAAGAATGACCAGGGAGGGTGGGGGGCATCTCCAGCCACCCCCTCCACCGCTTCTGGGCCGGGACCGCACCCTCCCCCCGCCTCTTCAGGGCCAGGCCTGCTCCCACAACCCCCTCTGGGTCCTGTCCAGAATGCTCTTGGAGAACTCTGATTGGTTGTTTCAGACCACCAATCGGAGTGCGAATGAAGTATTACAAACAGCCAGACAGACAAAGGCTTTTATAATAGTAGATTATTCAGCAGTGAAAGACCTGCTGAACTGCTCCTTTTAAGAAGTAGACACTACCCCCTCCCCCACATCAAATTCTTCGTTCATTTGCCATGTCAAAATGTTTAATTACTTCATAATTCCTAGGCCTACCAAACTGAAATTTAATTATATTTGCAGTTATACTCTAATTATACTCTTAATTATTAATCATGCAGTAAGCAGGCTCAGGATTCATAAAACTTTCCAAAATGCCCAGGATTTTAAAGGTGATCTGGTATTTTTAACGAAACCATCTAAAACTATACAGTACATGGCAATGGATGACAGCTCTATCCTGCCGGATGGGACTACCCATTGTCACCCAGGGTTCACTCCCGTTGCATTAAGAGAGACCAAAGGCATCTCAGTAGCAGCAGGTCTGGTTACTTCTGTGACTGAAGAGGTAGCTGGCTGTAAGAGGAGTAAGGTACCTGGTTTTAAAGGCCTTGGCAGAAGAATCCATGCTTTTCATCCACATGCATGGAAGCAGCACATTGAAAGGATGATGGTAGCTTGTATGGAAAGTTAACATAGCAGTGCCTGAAATCCCCGACAGAAAGGGGCCTTGGATATATTGTAACACTTAGAGAAGTCCTGCAGGCAATTTTTCTAAACAGATCTTTTTTTCTTCCCTGCTTGCAGTAACCAAGTATTTAAAACTGACTTTTGCTCTTCAGTGGCTGCATCTATGCAAAACGCATTAATGTGCATTAGCTTAATATAATGCACATTACAGGTGTGCGTCTACATGTTCATACCCTTAATGCATCTTAAAAATGGTGAAATGAGACTAATCACACCTGAATTTCATACGGTATCAAGTTCAAGCACGATTAGTTAAAGCGCATTAATGCACATTAAGTCCCTGTGCATGTAGACACCTGTCAAAAATTGCTTAATGCTAAATTTAGTTGTGCTTAAATGCACGTGTAGATGTGCCCAATAAGTGGCTGATATTAATTTACTGGTAGGTCAGAAAATGAGCAATACGCTAGATCAAAGCCGCACCACACTGATTGCTCCATACGCAACTTGACTGAGGTATATTAACATAATCAATATAAAGCATAAGCTACCAAAAAAAGGAAAGGGGAAAGGTTTGTGCAAAACGATGGAAATAGAAAAATGAAAAAGCCTTGCAATTAGAAAAGCAGAGTGACACATTTTGGTATGAAGTACAAAACAACCACGTGTTCAGGACATGGAATTAGAGAGATATAGAAAATCAGTCTGCGTTGTTATCTAAGCAACGGTAGATGTGTTTTAGGCAGATGGATAAAATACAGAACTGGAATCAAATCCCTCAGTCCAGAAACCTAGGAAGAAGATTTTAAAACCTGAAGCATCAGAAAGCGTTGGAAACAGGATGAAAAACTGTAAAACAGTTTTTATGCTAGGAGTTAAAGCAAAAACAAAAAAACCCCAACCCTCCGTTGAAGCAGTTTAACATTAACCTCCTGCCACTGGATGGTGTCAGAGAACTGTAAACAGACTTCCACACACAGGCTAGCAAAATAACCTGCCCT